AGGATCAATAAAACTGAGGTCTAGCCAAGCTTGACTCCCACCCTGAAGTAAACGCGAAAGCCGATCCCGGGGTGGGAACAGTCAAGGATAATAAAGAAGTTTGTAGTTTTAATTGAGCAAGCATTATCTCACACTATCGAGGAGTGCGGGGACACCACGGAGGTGCCTTTGGAAGATTTACACATTCCAATCATAAAAAAGTAGTAGTAATGATAGTGGTAGAGTAGTGGGGGTAGTAGTAGTAGTGATAGTGGGCGGGTGGGGTAGTAGTGGTGGTGGTTTGGTAGTAGTTGGTGCGTGGGTGGTAGTAGGTGGTGGTGGTAGTAGTGTTTGGTAGTTTAGTGGTAGTAGTAGTTGGTGGTGGGGTAGTGTAGTATCAGTAGTGGCAGTTAGCAGCAAGTAGAGTAAAAAGCAGGGTAGGAGCAGGCCAGTTTTTTAATTTTCTCTTTTCTTTTTTTTTCCTTTTTTTGTTGGAAGTAGAAGTAGAAGTAGAAGTAGAAGTAGAAGTAGAAGTAGAAGTAGAAGTAGAAGTAGAAGTAGCAGTAGCAGTAGCAGTAACAGCATTAGTTAACACGAAAGACTTCACCATTCTTACGGTATCTCCAAAAGGAAACCTTTCTTTCCAAACCGAAAGAAAATTAACGGGTATAGATGGCCTCCCATCAATGTTCCCTGAAACATCGGCAAAGGCCCACTGGTTTTCGTTACCGGCGACCGCCGTCAGACCTTCCCTCCCCGCTTTGCTCGCACCGCTTCTCCGGACAGGCGCTTGGGAAGGGGAACGGAGCTCCGACATCATTTCTCGGCCATTTGGCAAACGCTGCCCTAAACTATTCCCTTATACATCATTATTAACTATTTCCCTTATACTTGTTAACTATACCTTATTAATTATTTCCCTTATACATCAATGACATGCCCCTGACCCTACAAAAGAGCAAAATAGTCCTATTTACAGATGACATAAACATTATTAATAAAGCAAATACCCAACAAACTCTACAAAAAGGAGCGCAAACAGTCCTAGTGGCACTAATAAAATGGTTTCAGGAAAATAAACTCAACAATCGTAAATCCAGTAAATTGACTCCCTAAACTTTCGAAATCAACTCACTAAAGAAAAGCCTCCAGCACAATTGATGATAAAAACATGCCTGTAAAAATAGCTCAAAACATCTCCTTGGATTTACTATTCAAGATGATCTAAAATGGAACTCCCACATCACAGATCTAAACAACAAGCTTACCAAGTCATCTGCTATCTACATCCTTGAGTCAAATTACATCTACATCCTTAAGTCAATGTCACAAACAGTTTTGAGCTCTTTTTGACGTAAATAAATAAAAACTAAATAAATTCTAACTTAGATATGCTATAAAGAGTGTACTTTGCAAATGTTCACTCGCACCTAAAATACGGAATCATATTCTGGGGAAATTCTCCAGTAAGTATTCACACTTTCACCATCCAAAAACGAATTATGAGAACAATAACACTCACAAACATGAGTCCTGCAAAATACTGTTGAAACAATTACAAATCCGACCACTCCCATGCTTGGTTGCGTAGGCTTCCGCGTCCGGAGTTTGTGTTATCTAGGCTATTCGGGACGAGCCGCTCTGAGAAAGGCCGCAATACGCTGGCCGAAACGTTAGCCACCATGTCAATGACGCATCTCGTTCCGGATAGCCTAGATAACACTCCCATGCATGTACATATTTGAAATATTAATCTTCACAAAGAAGACACTTATGGGAAACAAGGATTCTGTTTCTCTAAACACAGAAGTTCTTAACAATGATACTATACAAAAAGAAATCAGTGATACTTCACTCTTTCAAAAAATCCTTATAGGTATTAAAACTATATAACAAACTCCCTAGTGAATTTAAAAGCTTAAACTCAATTCACACATTTAAAAATAAACTGAAAGCTTTCCTGTTAAACAATATATTGTACAGTACTGTAACCACACCCTCCGTCTGGCTGCCCCGACTCACCTGATTACCTGTATTTCGTCTGATCCAGCGGTGCCCCGGCTGCTCAGTCTGCAGACTCTAGAGGGAGGCATTGGTGGTAGGGCTAACTCTAATACTACCACTACATTTAAATACATTGTTTCATTTCTTTTAAAGAGATTTTAATGCTCCTTTTATGAACGACGGCAAGCCTCATTCTAAAATTAATATTTAGAACTACCTTAAATCTAATATTATTATAATGGCCGTGCGGTGCATCATCGGCTGCCGGGCGGTGTCCTTCCGGGCGGTCAGCGTTTGGCGTGGTACGGTCGGCGGCAGGCTGCGCCTCGCCTCACCCCTTTTGCCCACTACCATGTCAGTCGGGCGACAGGCGGCGGCGTCCCGGTGGTCATGACCCCGGTTACGTGAGCGACTAGCCTCACCCCTCTTTGCCCTTCAGCAAGGCGGTCGGGAGATGGCTGCGGCGTCGATGCGGCGTGGTAGCGTTGACTGGCGCCAACAGCGCTGGTCGAGACATTGGCGGCACGATTCGCGGCTTCGTTAATCGCGCTCCGGCCCATCGTCACTCTCGGCTCGCGGCCGGGCACTTAGTCATGCAGAATATGTTGCACATAGTAGAGAAAGAGAAGATATTTAGGGGAAGGGGTCAAAACGGGGAAATTGGTGAGAGAGAGGGAAGAGAGAAGCGAAGAAAGGAGGAAGAGTAAGTAGGTGAAAAATGAAATTATTCGAGGGACGTTACAGAAAGCTACGTTTGGTTTACATTAGCACTTTACACAAATATAAAATCATTTTAACAAGAAGCTCAAAGAGAGAAGCTCAATACACTATAAGATAATAACAACAGTAATTTCAAATACAATATTGACAATATTAAGAAACAATATAAAGCGTAAAGGGATCATAACATTAATTGTGTTTATGCCAATATATTGTAATAAAGATTATAATGGCGGTACAAAGACATTTATTAATATTTAAAATAGTAAAGAATTTCATTTCATCAGGATACACAGAAAAATAAGAATATTAATAATTTATATGGTGTAAGAGGGAATGGAAAATGAGGATAGAGTAATGAGGTATGGGATAGAATTTTGAAAATAGAGAGAGGGAATGTAGAGGGGGGCGAAGACCGGGCGCTTGGAAACGAGAAAGGTCTAGAGATTGAAGAAGAATTTAACGCCGTTCTATATGTCGTTATTCCTTATTCATATGGTTATTTCATTTTTGAATTTACGGAAAACATTTGAATGTTTTGTAGGTGCATAGGTAATTTATTCCAGAATCGGATAGCTGTAATAGTGAATGATCTACTGATCGAAGTCTTGTTGTGAGTGGTACACAAAGCAAAGCTGAATCACGAGCTCGATTCAGTTTGAGAGGGATGTAGTTACTTATGGGGCGTGTTACAAGAGAGCCATTTAAAATTCAATAAAAAAGAAGTAGAGTGGAGTTACTGTCTTTTGTCTAGAGTAAGCATTTGAATTCTGTCAAAAAAATTCGATGCATGGTCATATTTTCTTAGATAAAAAATAAACCGTACGAATGCGTTCTGGGCTATTCGAAGTATACGCTGTAATTCGAATGTCATGTTGGTCAGAAGAAAGTCACAATAGTCAAAATGTGGCTTAATAAATAATTTCTCTGGAACAAGCTTTTCAGTGAATGCATAGAAGCAATAACTTTACGGCCGGTTGCATCTACTTGCGAATTCTAGCCGAGGCTGTTGTCAATACATTCACCTACGTTCTTGACTTCAAAACACCACGGTAGAACGGTGTCATTCATATAAATATTAGGCATAGCAGATGGTGATATTTTATTCATAGTGGTTTTCGAACTGATAATTATGCATTGTGATTTATTTGGGGTTAATTGTAAGCCTAAAGACGCTTCCCAATTTACCGTTATCAAATCTTCGTTAATTTTTGTACCAGTGAGAAGAGGGAGACGGATGATCACTTAGGTATATCTTAAGATCATCCGCATACATTTGATGACTGCAATATTTAAGTGCATTTTCTACGTTATTTAAATATATTAAGAAGGCCAGTGGTCCGAAAACTGCCTTGAGTAACTACGAGGTTAAGTTTCAAATCACTTGAGCTACGGATACCAGACACCACTCTTTGGGCTCTGGATGTTAAGTAATTAAGAAACCATGTACGCGTGGGCTGTGCAAATCCGGTGATTTTAGTTTTGCGAGCAAGGTGTCATGATCTACTGAATCGAGCGCTTTGCTTAAATCCAGAAGAATCAAGATAGTTGTATTACTGTAATCTATTGCTGTTCTCGCGTCTTCAATAACGCTTAGAAACACGGTTCTTGATGGAACGGAAACGTGATTGCTGATCGTTTAAAAGTGATATTTTTTCGAATATACTGTTCAGTTTGCTTCCGGACGACTTTTTCGAGTACTTTAGAAATAGTCGGGAGGATGCTAATTGTGCGGTCTTCAATGAGGTTTGTGGTTGATGCTGTCTTGGCAATAGGATGCACGAGTGCATTCTTCCAGGGGAAAGGATATTGTAGTAGTTTGTAGCAGTTTGGCATTTATACCATCGGAAACTGAAGCAATTGATGTGAGACTTTGAACGACTTTTATTATAACTTGATGCTCAACGGACGTAAAAAAAATTTGCCATTGTATTTTATTGCTGAGTTTAGGAGAAACGCAAGAGATTGCTTTTTCAAGTTACTGTCAAATGAAGGAACGCCATTTACGAAACTATGATTTAATGATTCCAAGGGAATATTCGTTTCATTTTGGGGAGGACCTTTGCCTATTCCTAGATTTTTCAGATTTTTCCAAATCGTTCTCGAGTCGCGGTTTCTGCCGAAGGTGGTGTGGTAATATTTTATTTTAGCGTTGAATTTCCGCGTAACTAAATTTCTGAGCACTTTGTACTGTTTTACGTAGTTCGCATCTAGTTTTACGGAAAGTAGCATACACTGCATCTCGATCTTTCATTAAATTTCGGATTTCATCAGTTAACCATGGTGTAGGAGAACGAGTTACGCGCGATTTTTTTAAAGGCGCGAACCGGCCATAGATCTGTGTCATGAAGTTAGTGAAAATCGCCACTTTATCGTTCAGTGATTCTTCTTCGTGTACAAGTGCCATGGAAGTGTCAATTCATCTATATTAAATGTTTGTTTATCGAACTTTAAAAAACTCGCAGTATTTGATTAAGTGAGGTGAGTATTTAGGGCACTTCAGGTTGTAAACAAGATAAATTAGGTCGTGTTTGGAAATCCCATGAACTCGAAATTGACCGTTATTTCGTACTTTGTTTGCATTAGACACTATAATATTGTGACGTCATGGATACTCACAGCGACCACAGACACAGAGCTTTCATATAACAAATATATTTATTAACAAAGAAAACAAAACAAATATATACACTTAATAATCTACTTACACCCTAGCTCTGATAGACCTACTATCCCCTGATCGCGGGAGCGATACAAACCCGATTGAAGATGGTTTTGATTGTGGCATTCGCCACTCCTACTTCTGAAGCGCGCACAAAGCCTAGCTTCCGTGACCGGATGTCACGCTGGGACACAAAGTCCGTTCTGGCGCACCAACGGCTGGTTTGCCTCGATCGCAGGAGCGATCTTATCCGATTGAGAATCGGCGTGAATCGTGGCACTCAACCACTCTTCACCTCGGATCCCGCACACAGCATCGCTCCCCCGTGACCGCAGTCACCCAAGGACCTTAAGTCCGCAGGCTTCGTCAACTAGTGACTCGAGCCTCGCGAGCCTGGCTCGCATATGCACCGTCGTGGCGCCAAGTTTTGTGCACATGCACGAGGTTCTCTCACTGTCTCCAGAACCCACCCACTGGCTCTGTACACTCTGTTATATAGGCGAGGCCCACGTGACCTACTACGTCACGCCACCCCCTCGCTTGTTATAACAGTGAAAATTTCTAAAGTCCCGAAGACTCCAAAGCCTTGTGTCTCCCGTTTCCGCGTTCTTGCCTTTACGGAAAACCCCTTCTCCCCTTCCTGTGGCGAGGCTAATCCTCTACCAAGCGTCCCCAAATAGATGCCACGAGGCACGCTGGCTAATACGTTACAATATGATCGATCCAAGTTTTCGTGCTCTTTGAGTGGTGTGTTGGTGCTAGACGTAAAATTTCGAAGCACATGCTGTGGAAAAAGCATGTAAACTGGTCTGCAGAGGGAGAGGTTTTTAATAAGTTATGATTTAATTCACCATTTACAATAATATGTGCATAAGAATTGATCGCAGATGCAAAGGTTTCGTCCAACATATCTATGCTGCCTGTCTTAGGAAGTAAATATATGCCGGCCAAGAGACATTTTTTCCCTAAAAGTCTGACTTCGATAAAAAGATGTTTACTACGTAGGTAATGCGTATTTGTTGCAGATAGTACAAGTTTATGCCTGAGATCTTCGCGAATGTATATTCCCACGGCTATATTGTGTGCGGCCTTCCGATCAGCTCTTATCAGGTGGAACCCTGAAATTGCTACTAGCGTGGAATTGAGAGAATTTTCTAACCAGGTTTCGCTTATAAGAAGCGCATGAAAACGGTGTTTAGATGCTATTTACGTTATTTCGTCGAAATTGCAGAGCAGAGACTGAGCATTTAAGTGTGCAACGTACAGACAGAGGGAGAGAATATTAGGCTAATTTATAGTGTCTGACGCTTGGACGGTCGGGGAAAGGGTCCAGCCATCCACAGGTAAAAGGTTTACAGGATGTGAAGGGAAGAAAGTAGGAAGCATTTACAGAGGGTTTGCAGAAGGAAAGTTCGGAGAAGAAGAAGGGAAGGAAAATTCTCGGAAAAAATTCGTGGTTCTGGCGGGGGATATAGAAGGGGGGAAGAGGGGGGCGCTCGTACGCTAAGAATGAAATGTCTCCAGCTGGGCTCTGGTTTGCACCCGGGCACAACCGTTACTGTATTTAAAAATGATGGAGCCGTCTTCTGTTCACACGTTCCTGAGGCCAAACGTGTCGAAGACTGCTTGTAGCAAAACCAGGCAGCTTGACGATAGCAGCTTGTAGCGATTTCGTGAGGTCCTCGCGAATTGTTATCTCAGATTGCTTGAGAAGCCATTTCGAGCATTTTGTTGCGTTTCCTGTAACTGACTAATTGAACAATGATGGGTCTGTTTTTGCCAGTTACTTGCCGACCTACTCGATGATTCCTATCAATATTTTGTAGGTTTAAGTTAACACATATCATATTTGCAAGTTGCTCGACGACCAGCTGGCCAGTGTCTTCATTTTCGGTTTCTTTGACGCCGAATATCCTCAAGCAGTTTCGGCGCGAGTACATCTCGAGCTAGTCTGTCTTTTCTTCTAACTGAGATTTTGGATTTGAAACCTCACGGTCACGTTCAGCTAATTTCTTTTCTTAACATGCCATAAAATTAGCATTGAAATGCATCGAGTCTTCCAGTTGCTTTGGTACAAGTTCAGTAAGCCCAGTTGCCAAAGAGCGTAAAAAGGTAGACGATGTTATTACCTTATA